CCAAAGTGCAATGTGGAAAGAACAGACTGTTCAGTAAGTATAGGGCCTATCACGCGCCTCCCGACATGCACTTCTCAGAATGTGAGGCATGTGTGCAACCGGGTGCAAAAGAACAAATTATATATATATATAGTGTCATGAATGGCAAACCAACGATAGATAGTAAATGCCTATAGGTGGCCATCATGCAGTCATGTTACGATACAGATTTGAAGCTGCACTTATAACTTCCTGATGCGCCTCACGGAGGATAGACGCCAGCACGCCTGCAAGTATGGACACATGGAACAGTGTATAATGGCAACTGCCACTCACAGAAAGTTGAAACATGTATATGCAAAACAACATTCGAGATATGACAGCCAAAGACGACAATACACCTTTGAGTTGCAAGCATCCAGCATTGGCCCACCGCCATTTCACGACTTGAACATGTTTGCTTGGCCTCGAAGATATAGACATGGTTGAAGCACTCCCTGGATCAGGTTGGCCCATGCATGTTAAACAACACAGTCCCAAAAAGAACGCAGGTTCACAACCACTGTTTTCAAGCATTATCAAAACTGATTCTATGCATATTTCCTTTGGCAGTCGGTCTCATCGGCTCTTGGCTTGACAACGGCTTATCAACCTATACCAAGTCTAGAATTAAATGTTTCTGGGGCGCAAGCCGACTGTGCGGGCTCTATGCTTCTGTCCCAGAGCAGGCAAACACGTGGGTCTCTCTATCCCTCTCTAGTTATTTATATATACCAGACTTCACGCAAGGAAACATTCAAACAAAGAAACAAACAGGAAAGAAACTACTTTTTTTGAACCCTCCAGCTAAAGACCCAACTCGCTACATTCAAAAAGCATTTACTCACCATCATCGGATTCATCCCCCCCGTTGTGTTCGTGTGATCTGGCTGTGCAAATCGAGATAATCCTGCAGGTTGCCTTTGCTGTCGAAGCTCTTGCAGAGGCCAAACGTGATCGCAACGCCAGTCTTCATCTTGCCGGTGAAGCGATTCTTGATCTTCAACTTATTGGTTTTCCCCATGAGCTCATCAGTAAACAGCAAATCCTGCGTGTCCAGACATCTCGCACATAATGGGGGGTACGCTTGCATGCCACATGACTCAGATATATGTCTGAAACCAGCTAGCACACAGCAAACAATAACTATATGGTCCTGTGGCTTCAACGCAGCATCAGTCTTGGTAGCAATGATTTGAAGCTTGCATTGCTTGGACTTCTGCAGCTCCTCACACACAACCGGGCGCATGTGATGCTGCACGCGCCACACTTTCAAAGCCCCCATGTCAGTCGACCACTTGAACTTACCCAAAAATCTGCCCGACACAGCCGAGTAGAGCTGGAAGAGCATCAGCTTCTTCTCCCAGGCAGTGTCGACATGGAGATTAACGACCTTGCTGAAACAGAAGCGTGCTCAACACAACACTATACGGGGGGCTGAAAGCATCAAACACTTTTGCAACCTCCCAAACAAAAGGGGAGCTATAGTATGTGCATGCAAGTGACAATGCTTCCCGCAGACATAACTTTCACAACCATGTCCATTGACCCACGGCGTTCGAAAACGAACCTGCTTTTGTCAGCCGTATTCTCTTTCACCTTGAATGGATAGCATGCTCCGTTCTGGGTGATGTAAATGACAGCGAAATCGTTTTGTTCGATACGTTGGCGCTGTTTTGGCGGCAAGGGTCTCCACTGTGGATGGCTATCTATCGGAAATGGTCCATCTGCATGGGCCGTTCCCGCTGGCACGATCATGTACTCGTAGCTGAGGTCAGCCATGGCAAGAAAACTGTGCAGGAAGGCGCAGGGGTATATATACTTAAGAAGAAACACTGCGAGCAAGGCCACGCAGTGTCAAGATGTGCGAGCTAAGCCCTGCGCATCTGCGTAAAGGCAACTACAATATAGGTGCAAAGAAATGACAATCAATGCAAGATCTTTTTTTCCTGACGGTGCGTTTCAACGGTATATCTCGCATCCAAAACTCAGCTGATATAGGGATTGAAAAAGCAGCTGACGATGTGCTAAACAAAAAAATGTGCCAAATGAAAAGACACGTCAAATCACTTCATTTCAGGAAAGAATTCATCAGGCCGAGGCCTTCTTCTTTTTTGCAGGCGGGGGTGCAGGATCGGTGAAGGACAGAGGCGCAAAGCGTTTCTCTGTCTTCTCCTTCAAAAGCACTAGCTCTTCACCGCTTTCAATGTCACGAGTGCTCTTGGCACACGGTATGCCTTTGATGTACTGGAGCGACATGTTGGAATCATCTGACTCAGTGGTAGTGGCCAACAGCCAGAAAGGAATGCTGCACCCTGCAGGTGACAGCACGTAGAGACGACACTTCTTCCTGGGCTGCAAGAAGACTTGTATACATATGCGTGACTATATACCCATTCAAACAAAAAAAGTACAGCGTTGATAAAACAGATTTGAGTCACCCCTGAACCTTCTCGTCGCACAGTAAGTACGAACCACTGGGTGGAGTTTTGCCGTCAGTGGTCATGAGAAGTTCGATCCGATTGGTCAAGGCTGGCAAAACAATCTTGCCCTTGCCGAAGTCTTTGGTCACTACGACGCCCTTGGGCTTGGCCCACAGTGACAAGTCATCAGACTTTGGGGTCATTTTGTAACCCTCTTCCCACAAACGGATGGAAGCTCGAGCCTTGACATCCGTAGCTGCAAGCACGGAATGCCACAGATCCGGATCTTTCACAGGAACACGAGGCTTGGGCTCACTCTGCTTTTTCCAATCTGAGGAGTTCAACACCTCATCGGCCTGGAGGACGAACTCACCTTGATCACCCTGCATCTTCAATTCAAGGGGGGTCATGGCGAGGATTCTCCCACCCTCACCGTCTGATCTCACCAGCAAGTCACCAATGGCAAACTTCTCCATGAGCCTCGCTGCAGTCTTTGCCTTGCCAGCATCGTCGTACTCACGGATCCTGCGTCGTGGCCAAGCTATATAGATATATACCCCACGCAGAACTCTTCTATATATTTGGGAGGTATCTGTTTAGGCTGTCGAAACCCCTCCTTGCAGCAGTGGCTGCAGTTGATGGAGCGGCTTTGGCACTTGCTGGTGCTACAGGGATGGGCCAAGGGTTTGGAACCTTCGTTTCTGATGAGGAATTCCAATCACCATGACACAAGTAAGCTGCATGCTCAACGGACTCCACAGGCATGGTCAACTGTGCGTCCGGATCCTTGGGTTTCACACACCGCACCTCAAAGGCGCCAAGGCCTGCAATTTTCTGGAATTCCGTCAGCTTGAACTTCGGCATCTCATTCTTCAATGTCAACAAGTTTTTTCAATAACAATGATCTTGGTGAGCATCTGGGCGATGGAGAGGCTACGCTTGATGTCTCCCACGGAAACCACTCGGTCATTGCAGGTCATCATAGTTTTCAGCAACGCCTGGCGCCAAAGAACCAAATCCTCATTCTTGTGCCTGGTGTCCAGTGACAATGCATCCCAGACACTTGCCCCCAATTGGTTTTTCACTGAGCCGAACGCGGCCACGAAGGACTCAGTGTTCTTCATCATTGAGGCTTCTCCAGACCTGCTCATGAACTTGTAGACATAAGGCAGCACGTCCGGGTTGGGT